CTGCCAACAGAGTTCTGATGGGAGGGGTAGGCAATGAACTGGGTAGGCGGTTTCGCGAAAGTCCGGCTACTGCATATATTTACATTATATGTGTTCTTTGTCTGCGCGCAGAAATATTCACCTGCGAGACTTTTGCACGAGACACGAGACTCGAGATGAGACCAATAAAAGTCTCGTCTCGTCTTGTCCGAGACAGTCCGAGTCTCGTCTCGAGTCTCGTCTCGAAAACGAGACGAGACCATGCGAGACTCTCGAAAACGAGACTCTCGTGGAAATCACTAGTTTTCGACGTGTCACCAAAAAACGCGGATTTAAAAGACCGTGACGCTCTTCAACTGGAGCTGTACCTTTTAACACTGTCGTAGGTTTCGTATCTCCATCGTGAGGTATCGCGCGCAAAACCCCAAAAAAAGGTACCTATATGTTTATAAAAACTCAACGCTCGATTCTTGACTCTTTGACGGAGTCCTATTAATATCGATAAGAATTACCCAATTCTGAACATCATTTTTTAACATTATCACAACTAATAATACCTCCAAGAAAAGAGAAAAAAGAAATTCCCATAGAAATAGAAGAATCTTCGAAAACTCAAAAAAGTAGATAACAGAAAATGACCAAACAATACATAGGTACGTCTATTGAAAATCCAATATTAGGAGCTCCATATACTAAGAAACATGTAAATGTATTTGGAAATCAAATTGTATTTCGATATTCCAATAATAACACAATTAGAAAAGAGATAATCAAACTATTTGGTAATAAAAAGAGAATAATATTCTTCTTACCAAATAATCCAACATCACAAATAAAATAAGGAATCTTATTGATCATGCGCAATTAGCAATAAATTTTGCACAATTGGGAATAATGCATTATACTATTTTACAGCATAATAGAGAGTTCTCGTGCCGTCCAAATTTCAAATACCGTAACGCTATTTGACAAGTATGACAGTTCTCACGGTATTAGCGTTAGCGGAGCCCGCTATCTAACGGAACTTACCGGATGCCTTACCGTAACTCTATGCTATGTCAAAACTAGTTTACGCTCCATTTTTGTCTTCAAAAACAGCAACTTCTAATAATTCCTCCATAAAAAACACCAAGGGAAAATTAATCAAGCTCAGGAAACGTCAGGATAATTATAAGTTGGAAAACAAGCAAAAAAAGTTGAGTTCGATCACTCAACTCAGCTGTCAAAATGTAAACGCAATAAGGGATTAGAGGATTTATGTGTCTTCGTGTCCGAGAACTGTAAAATACAATGTGAAATACCGTATTGTTAGCGGTACCGTATTAGCGTAGCGTCTGACGCACGAGAACTTTCTATTGAATTAAATCAAATACGGTATCCGCCAAAATAAACAGTACTGAAATCTAGATCTCTGAGCAATTGCGCACGCAAGTTGCATTTATCGTATCTCGCTTACTTGTCATATGCTTGTCATTAGTTGTCAGTTTAGTTTTTTTAGACGTTAAGGCGAAAATCTTCGTCAATAAGGCTCTTTCAACTCAAGAAAAAGTTTTCTTAGTAGAGCACTATTTCCGGTCATACGGATTTGGAAGGAATAACGGCCGCAGTTTAAAACAAGTCTCAGAAAAATAGCCAAATCCACTATTTATAAATATAACAATACAGGACAAATCAAATTGCACGATGAAACTTGGCTCGTCGCACAAATGAAGATATTTTATTCGCGTATTTCGCTCCTGCCATATCAAATTGGTCGAGTCATGTCATCTGCTGGTGTATGGTGGTCTAATGACTTGCAGAATCCTTTTGAAGCTTGTTTGCGTCGCTATGGTGCACAGTTTTTAAATATGCATTATAATAGTAGATTATACCACGAGTCAATAATGACAGCTATTATTCCCGAGGGAGTAACATTCCGAGGGAATAATAGCCATTATTGCGAGTAGTATACTCTACTTTATTTACGACAAAATATTTTATTTGAGATTTTTTATAGAAAATTTCATCCATTTCAATACAAATCCACAAGCAATACCTGTTTGAAACTGACACTTTTGAGCAATAATGACCATTAATCCCGCTACTCGTCATTATTCCCTGCGGGTGACATTAGTCGTAAATAAAAATGCATTATACCCAAAAGTCAGCAAATACCTTTTGATAATAAAATCAAGTATTACGAGACAATGAAAACTCAAGTAAAAATCCAAAATGAGTTAATTATATTTGTTATACACACACCAATGATTGATCCCAAGCTCTTTATATTGTATAAAATCAATCCAATTCCTATCCAAGAACTTACCATTAGGAATAAGGACCCTTACCTATTACTTACTACGGACATTTACAACAATACTTTATGGGAATGCCCGAAAGTCGAAAGTGTGTACCTTTGTAACCAAAAAGAGCTGAAGCAAGAAGAATCATGTGTCTATGATTCTACTACCTACTACAACAATGTCCTTTCACTAAAGTGAAATATGAAAAACCAACAGTGAGACAACTCCCGATTGGACAACTATTAGTCATTCCTATTCCTAAGAAAAGTCTGACGATAGTTATTCAATGTGACAAGACAAACCATATGGAAATAATAACCAATCCAACGCTAGTTTCTTTTGAAAAATGCTTTGTGAAAATAAAAAATCAAACATTTTCAAAAACCAGCGAGAACTTCAATTTTGAACTGAAGATTCCAAAAATAGACATCCCTGAACTTCCAGAGAATGGAACAATATTGGAACTTCAAGAAATCAACCAAGAAGACTTCAAGACGACGAAACAGATAAGAGTTCACAATCTAAAAGAATTGTCTTTTGAACACTCTTATTTAAACACATATGTAATCATAGGTTTAAGTCTTGCTATTTTATTTTAAATTTTATTGTTTTACTGTTTTAGGAAGTTTAAAACTTCAGAGAAAGGTTGTGCAAAAGTTTAAATTGAATTGTCTGATTTGAATTCACAACAATCCACGTTTGCAACATCTTAAGGAGGGAGGAGAGGAGTTATATTAACCAATTGTCATGCTGATTTATAATCAATTATCTATTTTTTATATGCTTTTATATCCTACTGGACTATTATAACGATATAATACCTTGGTTACGATAATCATAAACAGGATCTTAACTCCCAAGGGAGTTAAGGATTTCCATAACTCCTGCGCGGGAGTTAAAGACATCATAACTCCTAAGGGAATTAAGGATTTCTATAACTCCCGCTTTTACCTTGAATAGGTAAAACTTTGACGAAAAATAGAAATTTTGATTTATGGTTTATTCCTTTATAAAAATAGACAGAATACAGTAAATTCAGTAGGATATAAAATTATCTATGTACCACGGGAATTATCAGGTCTTAATACCCACGGGCAATTGGTGTCCCTCGGGCCAGAGGCCCTCGGGACACAAACGTTGCCCTGGGGTACTAACACCCTCATAATTCCCTTGATACATAAATAACTATAATGTGCTTACCCCTTTCTTCTATGAGTTTTTTAATACATTGTTGTAAAGTAAACATCAAATTGCTATATCGGCATTAAATTCTTATTTAAGTCAACGCAGTCCCATAAGGAACGTTCATTTGTTTTCTGGCTTTTGCCTGTAGCAATTTGATCCACGTATTTTCTTTTGTCACCTCTGTATATTTTAATCAATAAAATAAATGTTTTTTAAAATACAAGTTTCTGAATCGAAAATATAATTCACCCACTTATTGAAGAATATTGAAATTGATTTATTATATTGTTTTTGTTTTCACTTATTGACCAAACGTCTAATACCTACGTAAATCTTGAATATGTCCAAAAATGCCAAAATAAAAACATGTTCATTGAAAATACAGTATTTTTAGAATTGCAGAATCAGGAATTCAAATAACGTATTGATTTACTATATAGAGTGGTCCATCGAAAACAGTCCAGCAAGGTTTACGGCTTTATATTTGTACGTAAAAATTTAAAAAACCCTCGGACCCGTAAACTTTTGTTTTCAGGGGGACACGTTTCATTAATATTTTCATCCCTGTAACCTCAACCGCTTAGCGAGGGCGGCTACAGCCCTTATTTTTATCAAATGGGAAGGATACCCCTTTTTAAAGGCCATTAAATTATCTTCAAAATGCCGCTTCGTTTTTTAGGTTCGAGCTACGCACCGTTGAGAAATTGCGTTTGGAAAAATTAGAATTTTACAAGATCTTAGAAGATTTACGGAACCGAATTACTAATGAATGCCAACAAATTACACCAGATATTCTTCACATTGTCCGAGAACACTTTGAACAGTTGTACCTACTTTTGTATGGAGGTGAATGACGAGCATTTTCAACATTTAATAAGATAACATGTAAAGTACTATAGGTACCTACATGTCATTGGTACCTACCTACTCAATAAATTACATTTTTTAAAACGCAATTTCTCGATGGCGCGTAGCTCAAATTTAAAAAACGAAGCGGCATTTCAAAGAGAATTTAATGCCCTCTTAAATTATGTATCTTAACATACCCCTTTTCCCATTTGAAAAAATAGGGGGTTGAGATTACAGGGATGAAATTAATAGTGAAACGTGTCCCCTTGAAAACAAAATTTTACGGGTTCGAGGTTTTTTTTTTTAAATATTCACGTACAAAAACGTAAACCTTGCTGGACTGTTTTCGATGGGCCACCCTGTATATAGGAAACCAAAACAACTATAAAAGATGCAACTAGTTTCTGAAAAATCATTTGCAGATCAAAATAGGAGATTATAAAACTGTGGCCCAATTTCCTTTTTTTTTTTCATTTTGTTGGACATTTCAATGGAACAATAATTATTATTAAGGAACGGTCACACATAGTCACCCGATTTTATGCTATATAGCACTTGTAAATTGGAGATCCCTAAAAAGTACCTAAAATAAAATCATCACCTAATAAATTTGGAACCCCCAAATTGAAAAACTTTTGGGCAACAAATAAAAAAAATTTCGTTTAAGTTTTCTGGAATTTTACTTCTCATGAAAATAAAACTAACCTGGTAGACGTTGGCATTATGGAACCCATCGGAACTACCATCATATTTCTCTCATCTCTTTCGGGTACCGGCCCTCCGATTACCGCATCGATAAGCAATAAAGTACCACTCAGACAAGCAAGGTACCACCGAACTAACCCGGCACTTCCCATAATTTTTTCGAAATTTTAAAACCGGTCCGTTATTAATGAAGACTGAAAAGTTAATGAAGAAAGCTCTTTTCTTCTTTCTCCTAAACTCTTTTTTTGGTTGTTGCACTCATTGGTGGGACGTGAATGTGTACAAATTGGATGTTTGTCTATTAGAGAGTTTTAGTACCAACTATCTACTACCAACTTATTTAGGATTCATAGATGATAGAAAAATATCCATTTAAAATTTCAATATTTTGTTGTTACTTTTATCGGAAATTGTATAGCTAAATATTCATTTCAAGTACCTACCTATTTGTTAGCATCAGATAGGTAGGTAGGTACCTTTGAAATGGTACCGACGAAAACTCTTTTAGAATATGTGTCATTACAACAGACTTTGTTACAACCAATAATTACCGCACATTTTTCTCACATGGGTGACAAAAAACGCTTTTCAAAGCTAGGTCTCTACACATTGTTCTTGTTGCAAATTAGTTTGTTAAATAGTATAAGTACTTTGGTTAGGAATATGTCAATAAGAAGAAAAATTTTAGGTGTGAAATGGTGAATTTGACTAGAAACAGAGGCGTGTAACAGGTAGAGGGAGATTTCAGCCGTTTATTATTTATTCAATAAAGTTGACTTCGTTTGACATTTTTTGTACTTTTAGGTCGGTAATGGGTATTGCCGGTATTTTTGCTTGGTTGAAATCCTTTTAGTAACGCCACTGCATTATAATGTAAACTTAATTAATTATTATAGGTCTGAAATCGATGCCAGAATATTTGATTAGGTTTAATGATCTTATCCTTCTCGACCTTCTCATTAAGGCTTGGTTTTTAAATCGTGCGATAAATTTAAAATATTGATAGTTAACGGTATACAAGACTCAGTGGTAAGCAGCATAGAAGTTTGTTTGACCCGAGATAAACTACTCAAAACGAAATAAGGACCACTTATAAAAGCACCTTGGCTTTTATTCAATTTTGAATAACCTAGGTGAAGTGACTATTTCCATTTACAATATAGATAAACAAATAAGGTGTGCAAAAAAAAATTATATTGTAAATGGAAACAAACACTTCATCAGGGTTATTCAGAATTTATTAAAAATGGAGATTTTTTTAAAAGTGGTCCTTATTTCGTTTTGACTAGTTTATCTTTGACCTGAACTGTTTAACTAAGAAAAAATACAATATTTTCTTTTAAGTAGGCAAGTCAATTTTCTCGATGCGTTGTTCCGAGAAATGGTATCTAGTATCAACTCTGGCCAGCATCATCATAGATACAATGTACCACTCTTAGTCTTTTTTAATGAGATCATGTATAGAAAGAAACCGAAACCCCGTGTTTTAACAAGGGACTTATCCCACACTATCACTTGCGACCATTTTTTAAATAAGAACTAACCATAATGTTATATACATATTTATATTACTTACCAGTACAGTGTCATCGAAACATTAATTTGTTTGATCATCATCACCATTTTGCCTTAAGAACACGACATTTGGAACACCATGTATCTTATCTTCAACACTGACAGTATCATCTTTTTTAATTTCGTAGATAACATTTGGTGAGCCCTCAATTGACTTATTATTATTTGAGATTGACTCATTCTTCATCCTTAAGTATACTACATTTGGCAGACCAGGATTTTCTTCAATTTTGTCTTCTAAACAACTGGGTGAATCATCATTTACAATGAGACTTTTCATATGAATCACATTATTTGTTGATCCAGTTTTCGATTTGCCATTATCGAAAATCACATTTGGGATTTTGCTGATAGCAGTCTTTGGTGTAGTTGCTCTTTTACATTTAGTTGCTACCGCAGATTTATTAGCAACTTGAAATGAAATCCTATTAGCTTCAGTACTACTGCTAAGGCCAAAATATACTTCGTCTTCTGGTGACAAAGTGTACACAGGTTTGTCATAAGTAGCCGGTCTGCTTAAGTCCTCGTAAATATAATTAGATTGTGAGGCTTGGATTTTCTGTACGAAAAATTCAACTACAGGAGGAAATTTGTTAACCACAGGTTTTGGTGCAAACACCTTATTGATAGATTCTAAAATGTTGTCAGTCAAGTTTGTGGTGTCATTTGGTAAGTTGGATAAGAATTGAAACGTTTGATTTGTTTGGTTAACAATGTTGAAAGGGAATACGTTTGGTAATGGTGGTAAGGAAGGAGTTGGAAGTTTAAAGTTGGTCAAAATATTATTCGTGGAATTTCTAGGGTGTTTGTTGTTGAAAGGAAATGGAGGCCAAAATGGCAGTTGAGCAGTTGATTCGTTAGATGACTTCTTATCAAAGTTTGGCAGTTTGAAATTATTGGAAATATTATTATATGTAGGATTTGTTGAGTTTTTGTTATTGAAAAAAAATGACCAAAAAGCAGTTTCGTTTGTCGACTTTTGATTGAAAGAAAGAAAATTTGGTAACAAAGAGGATTGTACTTTTAAATTACTGAAAAAATGCGAAGAATTTGTTGGGTTCTCGGAAGCGACTTTAGTAGAATTTTTACTATCATCGAAAATATTTTCAGGTTTTGATTGAATATGAATTCCGTCACTAATCTTCTCTATTTTCACCAATAAAACATCACAGAAAACCGTGTGCAGCACCAGAACCACTAGGCCACTATAATATCGTCTTTTGCCCGACATGTTCAAGACTAAATTAATACCTATAAAGCCGAACTTTCCGGTTATAAGAGAAGAATTTCTTTACTGAAAACGCATGTTAAAAAGTATGTTAAGAGGTTGGGAGATAGCGTTGAGACAGTATTAAATTCAAATATGTTCCACCGGACCGGAGATTAAATTTACTTGGAAACTGTTTGTTTGCAAGAAAGAGGCCTATGGTACAAAAATAAGTCATCTTGAAATAGAAATAGGTTTTCTGTAAAAACATAAGCACATTGCCAATTGTCGTAATGATATTTGCCTTTAATTCGCACTATTTATAAGCCGATTGCTTCAATATTGTTGTGTTTTTATTTTCTGTGGAATGTGAAGTAAAAATTCAGAAGAGCTTCGATGAGTTTCACTTTATTTAAACATGAAAAATCAGCTTTTTATTTTTACATAAATGAAAACTGTCAAAACATTATTCAGCACACTGCCAACTTAGTAGTTATTTATACACCAAGTTACATAACTATTTTTCTAGTATTTGAGTTGTGTTATGAGACTCATAACACAACTAGTGGTGTTATAGACTAGGTTATGAATTCATAACACAACTAGTGGTGTTATGGACGAGGTTATGAATCTATAACACAACGATTTTTGGTGATTTGACAAATGTCAAAGGTAAACCTGTAAAGGTAAAATGAAGGTAGACAACTACTAATAAACGAAAATAATTAAAAAAACATTCCTATTTTTCGCTTTATAGATAAAACGTTGTACATCACGCGGGCGTTTAAACATGACTACAAAACTCGTGTGATTAGAACGACTCGGTCTACGACCTCGTCGTTTTAATCTTTCACACTCGTTATTGTAATCATGTTCATAAACGCACTTGTAATGTAAATAACTATTAAATCACTGAGATGTCAGATGTTTAGTTGGGCAGAGTGACTTAAAATGCCGAGAGTGAGTTAAAATCTTTTTAAATCACTGGAGGTGATAAGCGCCGCGCCTACTTACCTTTATTGTTATGTGTTCAATAATGTCATTTTTAAACGTCAAAATGGGATAAAAAAATAAAGTACAAGGAAAAATGCCGGGAGTGAGTTAAAAATATTTTGAATCACTGAGGTTTCAGATTTTTAGTTGGGCAGAGTGAGTTAAAATGCCGAGAGTGAGTTAAAATGTTTTTAAATCACTGAGGTGATAAACGTCTGCTCACCTTTATTGTTATGCGTTCAATAATGTCATTTTCGAACGTCAAAATGGGATAAAAAAAACTAAAAACCAATCACCAACTTAAAATACAAGTTGTATTTACCATTGCTAGATGTCGCTACTTACATTGAAGCTTCAACACCCACCCTCAATGGTAAATTTTAAAAAAAAACTATTTAATTTTTTTCAAAAAACAACACCTTCACAACAAATTTATGAGATTAAAGAAAATAACACTTCTGTCAATTCTTTCTTGGTTAGCTTGAAAAAAAACTTCTTAATCTAAGCCACACTTAACACTATAGTTGGTGAACAATGTTACGGAAAGAGGCTTCGTAAAAATGTCAGCCAGTTGTATACTTGTGGGAATATACTTTAAAATCACAATATTTTACTTAACTTTGTCACGTATGAAGTGGAACCTTATATCTATATGTTTAAGGCGTTTGTGAAATTTGGGATTCTTGGGATTATCTTCATATATTAATACACTACAAATTTTATCCACAGCTTGAGAATCAATCAGTACCTAGGTATCGAAGCCCACTGAGTGCTACATATTCAGCCTCGGTGGAGGACAGAGCGACTGTAGCTTGTTGTCTGGAAGACCAGCTTACAGTACACCCAAATACTTTAAAAACATACCTAGAAGTAGATTTCCTATCGACTCTGTCCCCTGCCCAGCCTGAATTTGCAAATCCCTCTATTACATTTTTAATAGGTACTGTGCTTTTCAAAAATTAAACTCAGATTTAAAGTTTTCTGAATAATATATCTAAGCACTTGTTTAAAGCGTGCCAGAGCTGTAAGCTTGCTGAGGTTTGGTACCTGCTCAAAATACTGATTGAAATACACAAATCTGGCCTGAAGCACAGCATGGCATACATCAGCGAACCTATAGCTCTCCGGCACCTGTTTTCAATCTCTTTACCCTCTGACTTTATTTTCAATTCTTCATGTCTGAAATTATTATCCATTGGAATATTACTGGCTTCACAATTTTCCAAATCAAAGCGTTTCAAGACATTCTTCAGGTAAGTTGTTTGATTAATTGTTATTTTGTTTTGAGAAAGATTCTGCAATATCAACATACCCAGAAAATATCTGTCGCAACCCAAGTGTTTCATTTTAAAATTTTGGTTAAAAATCATTTCAATTTCAGTTATCTCAGCTTCAGCTGATCCTGCCAATAGAAGGTCATCTTCATAAATTAGCACAAAAACTTTTGAAGCTTCAGTAACTGTGACATA